GCGGCCGTGGGCTGAGGTGGCGGAGCCCGGAGGGACAGGGGAGCAGCGATCGCGGGGCATGAGGCTGCGCTTTCTCTTTCGGCGTGTGACAGCGAGCTTGTCGGTGGCGGGCTGGGGCTTGTGGCTGGAAAAAAACCCGACTTGTCTCGCTTCCCAGGCCTGTCACAGCCCTGCCCGTCAAGGGTAAGGCTTAGGCGAGACCCGGGTAATCGCCTGGGTAGGAAAGTCTTAGCACAAGCTGTAGTTACCTCCCGTCGCTACTGCAGGTTGTTGGGGAGTGGATTTTACTGGATGCGTGTAAAGCATGTGGCGGTGGGAGCGCTGAGGAGAGCTCGTTGGTGTTTCCATCTTACTAACGCGCTTTTAGCACGTACAAGGCTTTAGTCTAAAAAGGCTTGCCACGTCTGTGCATTCAGAGTTTGTGTCGGAGACTTTAAAACGTGGCTGAATCTCTAGGGGGGGTCTGAACTTAGCTTTTTTGGTTGTGGGGAGCTGCGTGCTTCTTCTCCCGATACGAAACGTTGTTTCAAGGGAGGAAAATGACGCGAAGGACAAGATCTGGGAAAATCACTTTCTTGCAAGTGGGCAGTGAGAGAGAAGGGTGGGGTGAGGCTGTGGAACCGACCGTGGAAAATACTGCACCTGAACAAGTCGCACTTGCCAGCTCACGAAGTAAAACTGAAAGTAAGCTTGCTTCTGACTTTCAGGTTTGGGAGTAGAACTCCTCTGGCACACACACACCCCCAATCATCTGAATTATTTAAATGAATGCTGGGTTTGTCTAAATCTGTCGCTAGGGACATGGTTTAGTGGTGGGATGCCAGGGTTAGGTTAATGGTTGGACTTGGTGATCTTAAAGGTCTTTTCCAACCTAAACGATTCTATGATTCTGTTCTATGATTCTAAATACCAGAATTCGTGTGGGTAAGAATCTTCTTGATCTCCTTTTGCTACTGTTTATATGTGTGTCTGTGGAAATTATCTCAGTTGTTACACATTTTACTTAAGTGGGTGTTACTGAAATGCATTCATGAAGCATGTTGTTGGCTAAGTGCTACTCTTTAAGAAGCAGAAGAGCTTTTCCTAAATTCAGCGTGAGAAGAGGCTGTTTTCAGTCTGGTGAAAATAAGATCACAAATGCTAGTGGAATTTGTTCAAAAATAGTCTTTTTGCTATCTAATGAATAGGTTATTTCATACTTAAAAGCGATGGTGGCAATCTCGGGATCTCCCACACGAAAGTCAAATGCTTAGTTCACGTTTTCACAAAGCTTTTAAAAACAAAAGCAAGTAATTGTCCATGTATTTAGAGGAGTTTGGCCTCAGTCGGCCTGGATTTTTGTTTTGTACATCATATTCCAACTAATTTATGCTGTTCTTTGCGCCATTTCTGCTCATTTCTGAAATAGCTTCTCCTTGGTCCTTGCACAGCAAGCACATTTTTTTCTGTCTGCAATGTTATTTATGCAGACAGACTTTATAAGCTTGTCAGTTTATATGTGTTTACTGGGAGTCGGGAAGCCCTCTCGGGGACTGTAGTTTGGCTTGATGTTTGGCATCAATTCAACGCTATTACTCAAAATGTATTTGTCTCAAAAATATGTGTTGAAAGTTACCACTTGCTCTGAGAATCCCTGTGGAAGATGCCTGCTACGCTGCACCTCCGTAGTGTGGTGTTATAAGGGCTCTGATCTGGCTGCATTACAGATAGAGGCAGCGTCACTGTGGAGCTCTTTTTGTCATCTGTGAAGAGAAAAAGGTTAACTAGCATGCTTTTTTGGCTTCTAGGAAGCTAACTGAGCTACTCTGCTTTCCGAGTAGGTATAACTGCCTCCGGACTGTAATCAGTGACTTGCTTACAATAAGATACCAGCAAGTCATGAATCATAACCTGTGAAGTTTTGTTGGTTGATCTTTAATCAAACTGGATGCTTAAGATAATATAAAACTTCATAAGTTCAGTGCTACCTGAAAGTGAAATGTTTACACTTGCAGCTTCTGAGCTCAGTAAAGCTGGCTCTATTGGCAATCTATCCCCATAGACTCTATATTGTGTGGTGTCATTTTAGATGTGATGTACATGTTTATAGAGTGCTATAGGGAAATTCTCTTATGTTTCCTCATAAAATTACTGAAGGTTTGCAAAGCATGTGTTTCCAGTACAGTATTGGCAAAATATCTATTTCTAATGTTTGCCACTTTGAGTTATTTCTTTAACTATAAACTTAGAGTTGTATACCAAATGAATCATTTCGGTGCAAATGCATGAGGACTTAATATAAAAGGAGAGGGCACCTTTTTTCTTTTTTTAATATTTCGAATACTTTTTAAAGATTTTTCAAATCACTTTTTAAAGAATTTGTCCTGAGGTAGTACATGCCCACAAAATATAACTGTCTTTATATATCTGGCTTTACAAAGGAAGTACTGAAATTTTGTAAATTAGGTCTAAAAGTTAGACCTGTGTAGTCTATAGTTCTTGTGTCGCTTGTGGCTCACAGGTTGGCTGGTCTTTTGGCAGATGGGTGTAGAGGCAGCGTATATGACTTAGCAGTGGGACTGTATGTTTCCTGGAGGATTGTTAGCCGACCAGAATGAATGCTGCCTGGACTACTGTTCGGTTAGAGGGGCCGTAGTGACTGAACCAGGCAGGCTGTGTGTTGTGACTGCTTTCTCAGTCCCTGCCAAGTAGCAGAGAGTGCCCTTCAGCCATCAGAACTGAGACAGCAGGGCCAAGGGTTTGCGTAGTCAGGGGAGAAGAAAGGAAGGAAGGATGAACCGCAGTGTGAATGGGAGAGGAGGTTCAGGCTGAACAAGGGAGGTTGCCACTGGCAAATGGCCCACAACAGTTGCAGTGCCAATGGCACAATGGTCTTGTGGTCGACTCACTTGTGCGCTCTTCCTGTAAAGCTGAAAGCTGGAGTCTGAATTGACTTAAAAGCTTGGTTGTCACTTAGTTTTACTTCTGATGTGTTCCTGCTTACTGCTTCAGACCTTTATCCTTTTTTTCCCCTCATGGGGAACATGAAATGGTAGAGACCCTTCATGTACGGCTGAAGGGTCAGATTTGAATTTAGGCTGGATGTAACTTAAAAATGAAAAATTAAATCAGATGCTTGCTATACAGACTTACCTTTTCTGTCTCTTTCAGTTCCTTGATGACTTAAACAGATGGAGTCTGCTTCTCATTTCTCCTTTTATTTATCCTGATAAGTTACTTAAAGCAGAACATATAGCTTTTGTGACAGAAAGCATTTCAGCTCAGACAGATAATCTGCAGAAAGTACCTGGGTCTTCGAAAGAGGTAAGTAGTTCTCTTTGTTTCTTGCATAGAAACTAGTACGGATAGGTCATTTGGTAGGTATAAACCTAAACCACTTGAAGGAAAAAAAAATCAATGGCAGGTATACAAAATCTGTTTTGGGGAGTAAAAAGGTAATCTCTTAATTAAAATTAATCCCTGTTAATACTCTAGTTGTATTTCATGATTCAGATAGACCCACAGACATTTTATTGAGATTTTTTTAGTAGCACACTTCTCTGACTGTGGGTGGGAACTGCAGAATTCCATCATGACTTTGGATAAGGCATGTGTGGTTAGATATGCTGAATAGGAAAAAAAGACTTGAAAGCTGTCATTTTAAGGCAGATCAGAAGTCAGTTTAGCTCAGTATCCTGTCTCTGATGCTAGCTGAAACAAATGCCTCAGTAAGAATATACAGAGCAAACATACATGAAGATTTCTGAAAAGCTCTTCAAGCCTCCAAACAAGTGGTTGTAAAAAGTTGTAATTGAAACAGGAGTCTCTCTTGGAAGCTTCCTTTCATTGTCATTTGTAAGTATAAGTTCAAGTATTATACATTTGGATGATTTTGTCAGTCTGCAGAAGTAAGGCCAAAATCAAACTTTTAATCTCTTTGCTTTTCTATAAAATGCAGTGGGGGAATGGCAATACTTCTTGGTTGGAATTTTATAAATTGTATTTGCCTTTTGATGCGTAATACTTACAAAATGTTATTGAGGCATCCAAAGATATAAATTAAGTAAGTACTGAAATCCTTATGGCAAGCATACTTACAAAATGTTCATGTCCTAAATACTCAGAAGTGTAAAAAGTATCTTCTCCACTGCTATACTGAAAGTGCAAAGATGTGGTTTTAAGAGATGACATTCTAAAACTTGAATTACTGAATATAGCACCTCTAAACAGTTTATGCATAAAAATAGTATCCAGACCCTATCAAAGCTTACTATGAACTTGAGATGATGTCTCTCTCCCCTTCTTCACATGAGGAATGCTTGCTGCCTAGGCATCTCAGCTTGGATGCAGGTCTGAAGGGAGTGAAAGGCTTTAACCCAAAGCAAAAGATAAACTTACCTTGCAGGGAGGAAAAAGCTTCTGAGCGGTACAGGTTGTCATAGTTCCTTCCTAAGGCAGTCAGTTGTTGTGTGTGCTGTATGGTCTCCATACTGAAGAGAACAGAATGGACCTCATTGCCTACTGGAAAAAGGAGAAATGGGAAGACATGCATGCTAGGATATCACCGGGTAGGCAATAATAAAACCTCTGGCCTGGTTGCTGGGGTACCATAAAATTGACAGAACCCTCCCGTTGAACAGGCTATGCCACAAGCTAGGATCGCTGCCTGGGAGCATTTGGTAAGGTGTTTTCCTGGATGGCCCCTGCTTAGCACCATAAAGGGCCATCTGTCATCCTTGTTTTTTGGCATCAGGTTTCAAGGTCCTTTTTGGAGTTAAAGGAAACCTGTTACATATACAGGTGCTTGCAGCCTGTCCCTTTCCCCAGATGAGGAACATGTATTTTCCAGGCCACTTGTTCTGGGAGATGGTCCAGGAGCCCTCTGCTGGAGTGAACATTGACAACAGAGTGGTTGGTAAATAGTGTTATCAAACTTGAGTGCAGGAACAGGAGGACAGATTGATAATGGGCACAATTCCAGATTTGTGCCTCCAATCAAATTTTTAGTACCTTCACCCTCCATGGAGGCCTGCCAATCCTAGACAGAGCATGCTTTTGGAGCGTGTTAGTCTTTGCCCTCTATAGGAATGATGTCCAGGTGAAGTGCTGCATCAGGCAAAATCATTATCTCCATGAAGCTCAGAGTGTGAGGACTGGAGGCACTGAAAGCTTGTTGAGAATTCTGAGACCTTTTCTGCTGAAGTCTTCTGACCCTGTTTCCACTAGCCTCATGTTTCCTTGGAGCACACAGGAAGTAGCCATGTTAGCTGGTTTGTAAATGTTTTTATTGCCTTTGACTGTGGAATCCATCCAGGTGGGCCCTATTTCCAGGCTTCCAGGAGATAAACTAAATAGGATACCTGCTGTGCTCTCTGTGTTGTCTTGGAGTGCACCTCGGGAATGCTGGGCCAACTGAGACAGAAGGCTAAGGGAAACTTTTTTTTAACTTTACTTTTTTTTTTTTGTAGCAGAGAGGTCCACAAAAACATCTGAGTTGAAGCTCTGGTTTGTTGTTCTTTTGGGGTTTATTGTTCAGCAGATTTTTTTTAATCTCGTTGGGTTTGTTTGCATTTTCTTTAGAATGGAAAATGTTTTCTTAGAGCTTTACGCCTTATGACTACAACTGGAGACTTCCATTCCAGCTGTGGATGTTGTACCAATAGACTAAACATAGTTGGGAATACCTTCCATCTGGAAAGTGATGGTGTTCTCCAGGTCATCATTCAAGGCAGTTAGTTGGGGCAGTTCTGGCTGACTTAGTCACAGACTTCCCCAGTGACAATGGGGTGAAGCCTGACTGATGCTCCAGCTACAGTGATTCAAATCTGTCAGGGTCTGGTATGACTGTCTTCCAGAAGGAGATTTTGTTCTGCTTCAGAACTGGTCAATACTAGTGTCCCCAGAAATATATCTTGTAACTTCAGAGCTGGTATTTCTTTGTGGTACAGTCATGGAGATGACCTTTCAGAAGGTCCTGGAGGTAGAAACTCACTGTTGTTTCTTTTACTAGTGAGTCGTCGTTATGTCCAGGAGTTCAGGACACAAGTGATACAAATTTGAGGGCTGGTTCTCATCAGCTGTGTGTTCTGGTGTGGCTGGATTGAAGGTGTTACTTGCTCTTGTGTTACAGAGTTGGAGTTTAACCCATACCTGACCTTGTGGTAAACACAAACAACTGCCTACACACTGCTGTCTTTTTCTCTTTTTGAAACTGAGTTTGTTCACTAAGGGTTAGTATAGGTGATGTGTCAGAAGATGCCCAGCCAGTTTTCTTTTTAAGTATCCAAAGGCCACCAATATGACTATGGACTGGATGGTCTCATTTGGGTTGCGCTAATCGGAGACTGTCTTTGAGAATGACTTAGGAAGGAGATGTGACCGTTAAGGTTGTACAAAACCTGAGTTTTTTCTTGTTCCCGTGGGAAATACTGTAAAATCAAAAGTTGGAAATAGATTCTTTTGGATATTATGTAAAACACTTAACTGCAGTAGAAAAAAGGTAAATTTAGCTGATAGTGTAATTACGAACAAGTAAAATATCAAAGAGTTCACCCTCATTTTGTGCATTGAAAAGAAGTGTTTTTTCTTACTGTGTTCAATGAGTGTGTTACATCTTGTGTGTAGAGATAAAAGGGTGAACTTCATGGAAGTGGTTTGGTGATGACAGCGTCAAAGTGCTGGAATTGTGCTTTGTCTCCTGATATTTGAAACATATTATATGGCGAAATTTTTTTTTTTTTTTTTTTTTTTTAGGTCATGAAAATAGATGGTGCTTCACTGTCTCTAAAAAGGCCTTCACAGGTGAACTAGTCTGTGTATCCTACAAAGGATAAAGGCTGTGGTGTCAGTCACATCATTTTTACTGAAATTGGGTGCCTTATTTGGTTTTTGCTTTCAAAACTGACTCTTAAATCACTATGTTTGTCAATTGTCTGAATATTGTTTTGTTAGGTACTGTTGTTTTATAAACGTAAGGTTTAAAAGGAGTAATTTTCAGTTATGAGTCAGCAGACAGATTTGTAGTCTTTATTTATGTGTCTGCCTTTCAGGAGGAAACCAAAGCTCTTTTCACTTTTCTTCCACTTCTGACTTTTATAGTTGAACTTGAAACTTGTTCTCCAAGACAGTACAGGTTTGTAGTTTAGGTTTAACAAACCTTCTTGAAGGAAAAAAAAATCCCCAAGTGTGTCACTTTTATAATGCTTCTTTTCTGGAGAACGGAATTTTTGATGTAGATAAGCAGCTTGAATCTTCTGTGTTTAGTTAATGCTTCTGATCGTCATTGTGTACTTTTATTAAACCCTAGTAGTTTACTTTTGGTCTTTTTATCAGCATTCTTTTTAGAATTTGTGCTGAAAGCCATGTCTTGGGAATAAATACAAATAGAGTTTTACTCATGGGATGTGATAATGCTCTTCTGCCATTTTGTGTGTTACTTGAAGCTTTTATAGCCTTGATCTTTGGGAGAAATGTATTTGTACTCCCAATTTGCTTTCAACACTTAGTGTGGATGTTGCTTTGTCTACTTTTCTCAGGACTGAATCTTGTAGCATGACCCTTCCCCAGTAGGTTCCTTTGGTTGTATTCAGTCTCATACATTGACCTTTGTAGTCATGAAGGGTGCACTTTTGTGTGAAAAGAACTGTCAACTGAAAGCCTTCTCTAGTTGAGATGTGTTGTTTCATGATACTATTAAATGTAGCAGTTGATTTAAACACATCAGGTGTCACAGAAGCAAGTCTTAAAAGTGATTCTGCCAATTTAGTATTCTGTAATCCTAGTAGCTACATTTTTTTTTTTCTTTTTAAAAAAAAAAGTACTTTAAAATTAATTTCCAGTCCTTGGGTTTGCCAGTTGTGCCATTTAGGTTTGATAATGTCCCTCTGTTGGCTCTGCCTACCATAGTGCTGCTTTTTAATAGCAGAATCCTTTGGGAAGGAAGGGCAGTTTTTATTGGCAGTTCATCTTGCAGACTCCTAATACTGTTGGTATTTTGATGTTTTTCTGTAACCTTTTCAAACTGAAAAACATGCATATGCTTTATTCTAGATTGTGAAGTGGTCAGACTATTGTTCACTGTTGGCTTATAAACCTGGAGAGCCTTATAAGTTAATCGCTGAAGCAAGTGTAGATAATTTCAGTAACCTTGGAATAGCATTCATGGAAGACAGGCTTCAAATGGATAATGGAATGGTGCCACACAAGATTGTTTGTAAGTATCTTCACAAATTGCTTTTAATGGTAGAATATGTTTGTTTCATGGTTATTTTAGGACCGTCCATATGGTCTTTATATTCTAGGCAGTTGATCACTCTGTAGCACTACCATATTTCGTACTGAATACTATCAAAGATAGAGATCCTTGAAAAGTTAGATGACTTTCTGAGTGAGTTTCTCTCTTTACAGAACATCTTACAAATGCAGCAACAGAAATAACAGAAAAATGGATCAAAAGATTTTTGGAATAAAACCCTCTCTTTTTCTTTAATGCCTCATAAGCTACTGCCAATAATTAACCTTAGTATGATGAGATCTCAAAGTATCCAAGATGGTGTTTAACCTTTTGCAAATTCATGAATGCATAAATGTCACAAAGGTGAAGTTAGAAAATATTGTTTCTGTAAGTCATTTCTGTTAGATTAACTAATCTAATTGAAAAAAACACAGAAGGTTTTATGCAAATACTCTTCTTTTTTCAGATTTGAAATGAAAGTGTATTCAAAGCTAAATGTAGGCTGATAACAACTGCTGTAACTTGAGTATCTTAATCCTTTAGATCACTGAGAGAAAAGCTCACAGATGCTTTCTAAACAGGGAGAGGGGGGATAATCAGGGGAAGGAAGGTGGTGTCATTGCTAATTGAATTTTGAATTTTTGGTGGATGGTTTATTTCTTTAGGGGGGTGATTTTAATGATATCAAAACTATGAGTTGTTGTGTCCTCGTTAGCTCAATAGTTTCAGCTAAGGCAGGGAAGGAGTTCGTGCTTGCACTTGTAACACCGTTCTTAAGTAGAATTGTTGTCTGGGCTGTGGGAATTCCAAGCTTTGCCTCCTTTTGCTGCATGAGATTTGAACTTCTTTTTTGCAGCACCGTTCTAAAAGTGCCATAATGTGCAGTCTGTAGGGTATTGTAGAGTAGTGAGCTCTTGGGGGGTAGAGCCCCATGGGTGGGATGTGGGGGGTTTTTTGTTCACCAACAGTCTCATTTCTTCCTGCTTAGTTGTGTCTTCTCAACTGTGTTGATAAAACTGTCGGTCATGTAGAATAATAAAATAATGATTTGGACTACAAAAAAATCCTATTCCCTGCCCACCCCTGCCCCTCCGCCCCTCCCTCCCCATCCCACCCCCACAGAAAAAAGGGTGGGTTTTTTTTGTTTGTGTTGGGGTTTTTTGTGTTTGGGTCTGGAGTTTTTTTGTTTGCTTGGCTGTTTTGTTTGTTTGCTTTTTTTTTTTTTTTTTTAAATGTAGATCATAGTGTATTGGCAGAAGTCAGGGAATGACAAAATCGAGAACAGCTAGCTAAGGTGCAATAGGGTAGGAATATGCTCACAAACATATCTGATGTGAAACTGTCTCTTGGTGCTGTTCTGCATGAAAATATTCATACAAGGAGGGGATGGAAGCTGAGAGAGTGCCCCAGCCATTTACTTTTCAGAATGTTTTCTGGCTCATTTTGCTTCAGGTACTGTGTTCGTGCCAGAACTGCTCCAGGAGAACAGGCTGATGGAGGCTGTTGATGGAATAGCATATAGGCTGATAGTTGTGAAATTCTCCTGGGATGAGAAAAAATCTTGCTTCAAATTCCTGCTCCAAACTAGGCAAAGGGGGTATAGTTTCAAGGGAATGCAAGTGTTCTTAAATGAAGACAGTGATTGATCTTGGATCTGGTGTATTGTGTGCCAGTTGAGTATTTTGTTAAGTTTCTCACTGAATTTCTTTGAGAAATCAGAAACAAAAATGTAGTAAGTTTATTTGGCCTTATAGGAGTGGCGAGGGATTCAGTAGAATTTTGCAGACTTTGATTTGAAGTATTTTCATGGCTCAGCAGCTGAAAAAAAATTACCTCATGAAGAATATTTTTCCCTCTCCTGTTATTTAGTATGCTCTGCAAGTTTCACAGTGACAGTAATCATCTTTGCCCTTCTTTTCTCACTTGTATATGAAGAAAGTTTCTATCTTTGCATTTCCATCCTTTCTGGGGGAGAAAGGGGAAGGTTTAACAAGTCCTCCTGTTTGCTACTTTCCCCCCAGATTCTTAGCTCCCAAGTCTTGCTATGGGTGTGTATGTCTCCCTTTCTGCAGACTGAAAGCAGTTCAGATTTTTTTTTTTACTCCTTTTTACTTGTGCCAGACTTTTATCTGCCTTCATTTATAATGCCTTCAGCAATGCAAGAGACATAGTTTAATGTCTCCATCTTAGCCAATTTCATCACTGTATTAGCTTATATCAAAATAGTTTATTTCAAAATAGCAGCAGGCAATTTTCCACCCTGCCCTCCTTAAGAGACCAGCATTTTCCAAAGGTACTTCCCTTGCTTCATTTTGTCCTTTTCTGGGGACAAAGGGACAGGCAAAATAACAAGCTGGCGAGGTGAGGCATTTATGAGAACTTCATCTTCCCACCCATAGACTGTTGTTCCATTAAGAACACATCTGCATTGTGTATAGTAGCTGTCATGTTTTACTGTATGCAAATGTTTTTGCACTCACAATACATGTTTGTTTAAATGTGTCCTGTAAATATTGAGTGTTGTGCTCTCAGTCAGACTTTGCTGAAACAAAGATTCATTAGAGTAAATGACTTGTGTTATGAGTGCAAATTTATTATGTTCTTGAGGTGGGGGGTTAGGATTTGGTGTGTCAAACAAGTGAAATTCTTTCTATTATAGATTATTTGTACTGAAATTAAATCCTGTTGTGGTAGTGATATTCATCATGGCTTTTTTAATATAATTTTTATAACCCCTTTTTCTTATTCTTTAACTCTTCCAGCTGTCCATTTACAGGAATCTACTCTGAAGGAGTTGGCGCAGGTGGCACCATCTGTAAAAGAGCAAAGTGTAAGCAGTACACAAATGGATGAAGTAACTCATGCTGCTACTTTTGGGACGACTGTTAAATTGGGATTAGGAGTATCTGACTCTACAGGACAAGAGAAATCCAAGCTAGAGAAAGAAAGTGAGAAAGAAATTGAGCATGAAGATGAATCCAACAATCTATCTGACAAAGAGATGGGTGTTGGAGAACATCATCACTTGCATCTTTCCAGCTGTCATGAATGCCTGCAGCTTGAAAACAGTACTATTGAATCAGTCAGATTTGCCTCTGCAGAAAACATTCCAGAACTTTCTGATGATTGTAATAGCAAACTGGAAGAGAAAAATAATGACTGTCTAGCAAGAGGAATAAAGAGAGTAAACCTTGCTGGAAAGCCCCCTAATGTATTGATTTATCTTGGCTCTGAAACTGCAAAAGTGGAATTTGAGCAGGTAAAATCAATCCTTCAGGAATGCATTGATGCAGACAGTTATACCATCTACCAGTTGCATGAGGAACAAGTTCTGAAAGCTCCGTGGATTGATAATTCACTGCTATTGATCATTGCCACAGACGAGGCTATTTCTGAGGAGAACCACAAACAATTTATGAAATTTTTATCTAAAGGTGGAAAGATTCTAGGGTTTTCTTCATCTTTTACATTTGATGGCATACAAATAAAGAGAAAAAGCAAACTGAAGAAGACTGTTCATGAATTAGTGGTCTCTAAAATGGACAACACTGAAATTAAGCTAAATCTTTTGGTCAGTGGCTGTATTTTTGAGAAGGTGATGAAGGAAGATACCAGCAAAGTGAAGACATTGAGTCGATTAAATAATGCTGATAAAGATATAGTTGTTGTTCATCTCAGTTATGGAGACAGTGGAGGAGAAGCCATTCTTTCTCAGGTACTGTGTACGCAGAAGCATTAATTTGCTCATTGCTACATGATGTTGTGGTATGCTAAAAAAGTTCACTTGTTCCCATTGCGTGCTCTTGGGGATGCTTGTGAAGGGGAGGTATAGATGGATGTCTTGGTGAATGTACAAGGACTCTGAATGCAGAATGGTTTTCACTTGATCCTCAGGAAGCTTAAAGAATGATGGAGAATGTCACTGCTGTTCCACTTCCTTGTTTTCACAGCGTAGCCATGCACGTGTAGATCATGCAAGATCACAGTGGGTGGTAGAGAAGATTTGCATAGTAAGCAAGCGTCTTCAAGAGCAGAGCTATCCTCTTCTGCCTTCTAGAAGTTGTGCAGTGAGACAACTGCGCATTTTTCAGATTTTGGGAGGTGGGAACAGGAAGAGCTGAGTGATTGGTGGACTCGGGGTGAAAGCTTATATTGGCAAGATAAAAACAGAGACATCCTTACAAAAACATGAACTATGGTGAAGCAGAGAGTCAGGAGAGGATATAAATTAAACCTTGCAGGAAACCTGAAAAGACATTTCCTCTTAAGGTTTAAAGTTAAGGTAGCCAGCACTTCTGGAAATCTGACTAGTGGATGAGAGAGTCCCAACCTCTGTTACTTCTTGCATGCCATGTCTAAAAAACTGCTGTACAATTCTTGCTCAAGCAAGTAATTACACAATAAAGATTAGTCTCTGACTGCACTGAAATGCCATTGTTGATTAAGGTCTCTTGGTTCTTTTTTTGCTAGCATTGCATGGTGTTGGCCTTGCTGCTCTGTCATTTAAAAAAAACCCTTTATTCACCTGGAATGCATTTTTTCTATTTACTATCAAAATGAAAAATCTAAAACTTGTCTTTTATTTTCTAAACCTTGACATGTTATCAGTCAGTAATGTATGCTCCTATTTTTGAGGGGGGAGGGGAGGCCACACGGATGGGGAGAATCTAGTCTGCCGGAAACTTGTGGGTTTTGTTTCCTGAGTCTTCCTTCAGGCTTTAAACTTTTAAATGTTTATCATTCTGCACCTAACAAATAGCTCAGAGTACCTGAGGGACAGAAGTGGGGGAGTCTAGAATGAGTCACAATCTTATTCATTCTACTTAAGAATAATAACATCCCAGCAAACGAGTACCTCTCCAATGTTACAGTATTGTGATCTGTGTTTAAAAAAAAAAAAAAAAACCCAACAACTGAACAAACCCCACACCCCATCAAAAGTTAAAAAAACAGATAAATTCAAGTGTTCTTGATCCTTTTTGTTATTGTTACACTGTCTTCCTGGATAATGGGTGAGGAAGCTTCCATGGCTGTGTTAAAGGTAAATGTTGGTCACCGATTGTTTAAATATTCACAGATGTCTGGCTAAAGTTTTGAGTGATAGAAAGGCTGATAAGAGGTACCATTAAGTTTGGAAAATAATTCTCCGGCCCGGAAGTATGTATCTGCTACCTGGGTATATATAACCTGTGCTATTAAATCTAGAGAGATTTCAGCCCTTTCGTAGTAAAACTTTTAAAGTGAGCCTGGAGGCAACTTGCGTGTTTTAAGTTAGCCTCAGTAGGAGCAGAGGTAAACATTTTCTTTTTAGCATGGCTGTTCACAATCATATCACTTCCCTTACTCAAGGAACACACTGAGAAAAGCAGAGCAAGATTTGTTTACCAGTATTAAGTAGATGAGGAATATAATGGAGACACAGATGAACAAATTTTATGAAAGACTCTAGGACCTGTTTATACCAATATTTTAGTTACAGGAAAACTTTCTCAGGAGCCCAGAGCAATTTTCAGTATTTTGATCTGTGTTTTAAAAAAAAAAAAAAAACCCAACAACTGAACAAACCCCACACCCCATCAAAAAGTTAAACAACAGATAAATTCAAGTGTTCTTGATCCTTTTTGTTATTGTTACACTGTCTTCCTGGATAATGGGTGAGGAAGCTTCCATGGCTGTGTTAAAGGTAAATGTTGGTCACCGATTGTTTAAATATTCACAGATGTCTGGCTAAAGTTTTGAGTGATAGAAAGGCTGATAAGAGGTACCATTAAGTTTGGAAAATAATTCTCCGGCCCGGAAGTATGTATCTGCTACCTGGGTATATATAACCTGTGCTATTAAATCTAGAGAGATTTCAGCCCTTTCGTAGTAAAACTTTTAAAGTGAGCCTGGAGGCAACTTGCGTGTTTTAAGTTAGCCTCAGTAGGAGCAGAGGTAAACATTTTCTTTTTAGCATGGCTGTTCACAATCATATCACTTCCCTTACTCAAGGAACACACTGAGAAAAGCAGAGCAAGATTTGTTTACCAGTATTAAGTAGATGAGGAATATAATGGAGACACAGATGAACAAATTTTATGAAAGACTCTAGGACCTGTTTATACCAATATTTTAGTTACAGGAAAACTTTCTCAGGAGCCCAGAGCACTCAAATTTAACTGCTCATGTATCAAATAGCATACGCTCTTCTAGCAATTACGTAATTCAGAAATACTCATCGGGTTTCTTAGAAGTGTTTTTGTCTCTTATCAGTTTATCAGATTAAATGTGCTAACTTTTTGTAAACTCTGTTATACATAGTAGCATGTTTGTAGCTTTATGTAGGAAGCTTTACCACCCATGTGCTGTATGCTTGTACTAGAAAATTGATTAGATACTGTTGCTATCCATTTCTTCAAGTTCCATGGTAAAACCTGCTTTGCTGTACCGTTTAAATTGACCCTTCTGCTGTAGTAAAACTTAATACTGCAGAGGTTTTCCCCAGAAAAAGGGCATTACAGTATAGCTTCAAAAATCAGATTAAAAGGATTAGTGTGTCATTTTATAATTTTAAATGACTTCCAGTCTGGATTTGAAAAGCTTTATTGTTTTCTTTTCAGGGGTCTGACAGTGACATCAGCCGCTAAGTATTCAGTCACAGAATTGTTGTTTCCCTTTTTTCTGTACTCTTCTGTTCCCCTCCCCACCCAGTGTATTTCTCTGAATTTCAATAAAGTAGATCATATATGGCAGCTGAAGAACATCATTAAAATGTGCAAAATTGGAGACATGAACAAAGATAATAGTTTGTAGTATTCATTAAATGAATATACATATAGTAGGGTACAAAAGCTCCTAAATATCTGGGAACACTTATATAAAAACCAAACAAAACCCCACAAAAAACACCAAACACAAAAAAAACCACAAAAACAAACCAAAAAGGAGGTCTAGAAGGGATTCCCGCCCCCCCCCCCAGCATTTCATTTCTACTTTTAAGTCCCTGCTTCAGCCTTGAGAAGTGATTCTCTACAAGGTGATGTTCCAGAGTTCTTAGTTCTCCTTCAGGCAGCAGCATTTCTTTATCTGCACTGATTGCAACTTAATTCATGTGACATGGTAAGGAATTGCTCAGCCTGAATTCAAACACAAGTTTGAAGAACTCTTCCAGAAGATCAGTTTATTAAGGGATATTTTGTGTACTTTTCAGAGAGAACTGTACGGTACTGGCAACTGATCCCCAAATCGGAAACCATAAATATATAGGTATTCCCTAGTTTATTAGGATAATAAAGCCCTACTTTTGTAGATATGATGGGGGCATGAGAAACTTTTAAATTGCACTAGTAACACTGCTGTTCAGCAACCCCAGTCAGGACAAAGCTGCTTTTGGAACTGTTGTGCTTATTTCTCTCTACCATGCTAAAATGTATAATACAAAATAATTTATTTTTTTTTATTCCCTTTGCTCATATCTTGCCAGGCACACTTGGAACTGGATATCAATTCTGTGGATGTCCAAACTGAAGATGATTTTAATTTGCTTAAGATAAGCAATACCAAGAGATTCGAAGTTCTCAAGGAGATCCTAATATCACTTGGCCTGAGTTGTGAATTAAATGAAATTCCTATGTTAACACCTATCTACCTTCTCTCTTCTGATGAGGTAAGGCTTCTACTTACATTTCAGTTGTTTGAGATTTATCCTACAAGACAAATTCAGTGTTCAGTTAAATACACCTTTTTTCTTATGTGGTATTTTTGTTTGGAGAGGTTTACGTATGTATTGCAGGTAAGCAAAAAGTTTAATTTCTACTCTGTCACTATTTTGTACTTGCTAGTGGTAATTTTGAATTTAACCATGGGGAAATTGTGCAGGGTTAACTTTTCAGATGTATTTGCTATATTTCTGTTAAGAACTTTTATGCTTATTTGTATGCTTCTGCAGTATCAAAACACAAGGCTGCAGTAAGTTACAGAAAGAACTGATTTAAAAGACAGGATTTGTTTTTCTTTTAAAATAAGGTAGAAAGTTCTGTATAGGCTGATCAAACCCAAATTATGGACCAAATATGGCAGACCAAAACTGAAAGACCTGAGTGAGAAAGGAAAAGTGTGTCATTATACAATGAAGAGCTTTCTTCTTGAGGATGTTGTAATATTTTCTGGAAATAAATGGCTTCTTGTAATTCAAATAATTAGCTGACTGTTCTGGACTTCTCAGTTTGAGACGTTACTGTGAACAATTGCGAAGAACATATAAAGCAGTAATTTTAACTTTTTTTTTTTTTTTTTAAACATGACTTCAAATACATGAGAACTGTATTATATTGATCTGAAGAGGTGAAGCAGTAGGTGATTAAAAAGCAATACAAGCTACTTGGGCTCTTTGAGGTTGTTGTTTCCAACCCATATAGCGCTGTCACTACTTGCTCTTAGCATGCTTGCCTGATTCCCACTCCCTTTCTGTATCACCCTTACATTAGTACAGAAATGAGATTTCTGTCTTTAGGGGAACTCAACTGTAGAAGCTCCTCTTTGGATGCCTGTTTCCAGCAGTATCATATATAACATCCCTTTTTGGCTACAGGGTTAATCAATGAACAAAGTGGCGTATTACAGCTGGATGTTTTTAAATAACTTGGATGATATTTTAGATTTAGATTGTACTTTTCAAAACACTGTTCATTAATCCAGAAGGTGGGTATGATAAGCGTTGCACAACTTGTAGATTGGGAATATGTGATACATGACTTCATTGTATGTCAGTAGCAGTCAGTAGATCCAGACAAACTGATTAAAATACTATTATTAGGTGTATCTGTAAATTCAAATCTGCATTGGTTTTCTATGTCTCTGAAGAAACTGCTAAAACTTTCTACTGGTGCATTAAGTAATGCCCTGTATAGCAACTCAGTTTGGATGTAACGATTGATCAAAATCGGGCAAAATGCAGAGAGCTTTCTTTTATTCCCCCTGAATAATTGCCCTTTCATGTGTGCCAGACTCTTCCAGATCCATCTCCACTTTTCAACGGTGAAAATACCATTGGAAGCGCTTCTATCCAGCCTTCTGCTTGAAGCAGGGCTGTTGCCAACACTAGATCAAGTCAGCCATGCCCTTTGTCTGGTTGAATCTTAAAACCTCCAAGGGTGCATGCTACAATCTGTCTGTGCAACCTGTTCCAATGCTGCTGTAGCATTCTAGTGAATTTTTTTTCCTGATGTCCAGCCTGAACCTTTCAAGCTGCAATTTATGGCTGTTGATGCCTTATTATATTGTTCGGCACTACGAAGAAGCATTTGGCTCTGTCATTTTTTAATTCTCTTAAGTAGTTAAAGGTTGTTATTAAATCACTTCTTAGCCTCCTCTTTGCCAAAATGAACGAACCCAGCTTCCTCATCCTCTTCTTATAGATGTGTTGTGTATCCCTAACCCCTTTGTGGTTGCTTTCCAAGGAATCCTAACTAGCAGTTCCTTGCATAAGCTGAAGTCTGCTTTCTCAAGAACTAACTGCTGCTTCCCTTCTCAGCCTTCCTCCAGATCTTGGATTCTTGTGGTAACTACAGCCAGTGCTGCTGTCTGTAACCAAGTAAGAAACAAGTTGTTCTCTGTCTGTGAGCAGTAGATTAGTAAGAATTGATTATCTATTTGCGTGGCGGATGTGGAAACAAAACTAAAACCCATTTAGCCTTTTTGACTAATAAATGTGCTTTATACAGAAGACTTGTAGTTCATTGAACTCTTTTTTTTTTGTTCTCCTCCTTCACTCTCTTTTTCATGGTTATTTCTTTCTGATGCACTTACAATTTTCAAACATGTCATGAATAAAAAAAGTTAACTAATTTCTGTCCAAACTTGCCATCTAGTGGTATATTACAGGTTGCAGGCCATCTATTAGAGATATTTTTGCAATGTATACTCTGTGTTAAAGTTTATACCCAAATTAGTTTTTTAAATGCTGTTTTTGCACAGGTTTGGTTTTTTTTTAATGGTAGTTTTTCTGTGCTTGTATGTATGGTCATTGTTTTAATGTCTTTTGCTTTAGTCATGACATACTTCCAGAATATTGTGTGAAAGGAAGTTGCAACTTGTGTGTAAAAACTACAGTTAATAATGAAGAGATAGTATATTAAAATAAATAAAGAGTATGTGATAGTTCAGCTTTCTAACAAGTTATTCATTTTTCTCCATACATCAAGTTCTACATAGGGAGCCTTGCTTTTCTAGAGAGCAGGGAGATACCAGAAATTTACCTGACAGGTGAATAACTTGAGGAAATACTTAAACTTGTTTAAGATCAGAGTGAGTCAGTAGTACTGGAAATGGAGGAAACTGCCTTGCAAGCTCTAGTGCTCTTGAACTAACTTCCTTTTTTGTCAGTATTTGTATGGAGATCTTGTCCAGTACAGGTTACTGGGCATGTTGTTGGGGATAGTATATTCCTTCCCTGAGAGATTATCAAAGTAATGCTCATTGACAGCAACTGATTTTTGGATTATTTTCTTATGCTTCCCTGTAATAAGAAATGTCACAATGAGTCAACTAATGATCAAGCAAGCTCAGTGTCCTGTTAGCAGTTCCAGAAATGGAAGAGTGGCAAATGCTGCTGCTCTTGTTTTTAAGAGTTGGCACTTCACTAATGATTCCTCACCCCCAAACTGGAGGTTGCATCTGTACCATTATGTTTAAAAAGCACTGGTAGACCTAACCTTGTCAGATTTTTCTAATTAATTTTAGAAACTACAAGCTCCTTTTGCTTATGTGGAAGACATAATAATTGATTTTGCTCTGCCTTTTCTACTCCATTATGAAAAAATGTAGGGTTTTTTTTTTTTTTTGGTCATTTTAAAATTCTTTAAATTTAAAGTGCTAGTTTGGTTAGTTTTTTCTTTCTGATCTGTAAGCTTCAATATACAGTAAAGCTGTACCCTTTTCAATGTGATTTCCTTGGTTTCTCTTCCCCACCTCCTTTCCTCCTTTATCACTTCAGAACTTTCATCAGACCTATTTTCTACTACATTGTGGACATCAGATAAAACTTTCTCAACTTTGTTATATGAATAAATAGCTTCTCTTGTCTTTGCCTACAATTCCTGAACTATCTGTGTCTTTTTGCATCATTGTTGTGATGCTGCTTATAATCCCATCAAATTTATTATGATTTTATTTTTAATTTTTATTTATTATTTATTATGTATAAATTTGATTGTTAAGACTTTCAGATATTCCTGTTTATTCTCTGGGTCTTGGATGGTGACTTTTGCAATGTCATTTTTAGCTGCTTCTGAGAGGTGGATTGGTGGATTGGAAATTTTTTTTTTTTTTTTTTTTTTTTTTCCTCCTTAGGATTCACATTATGAAGTATTAGTTTCCAGTTTATATGGTTATCGTGTATCTTACTATGTAGTTAGACTGTGATTTTAAGTTCTACATTAAAAAAAGCCAATAAAATACGAGCAGAACTGGCATTAGCTTTTTTAGAATTGGGGGAGACAATTTATTTAATTCCTTAAAAAAAAAGTTAATTCTGGGGAGAAGAGTTGAATTTTTACTTTAAGTGTCCAGGATTTAATATATGTTATCTCTTACTTTTTTTTTTAAGTTTATATATAATAAAACCTGGGGACTAGTTTGATGTATGAAAAAATATGCAAAGGTGTAATAAACTTACACATAATTAAATTCGAATGTAGTGTCCTTTTATTTGAAAATACTTGGAAAAGCAGATGTTAATATTTCATGAGGAGTTACAAACTCTGTAATGCACTTTTTGCCTTTGGCAGATGAAAAGAAAATTTTAGTTTAGGGTGGAATGTAGGAGACTTGGGAAGAAATATTTAAAACTTGACAGTAGTTGTGTTGAAAATCACACAATTAAATTTTATTACTCAAGAAAAATACATTAGGAACAGGATGGTCAAGCTTTTAAAAAAGTGATGTATTGACTGCATATGGCTTAGTCAGACTAGATTTATGTTGCTGATACTGTTCTAAAATAGGCAAAGATTTCCAGCTGTGCTATATTCAAGTTGAAGATAGGATGAGTTGGTAACTGTACTAAATAAGCACTGAATCTCATTTTATCTGTTGAATATCTTTCTAAACAGTGGAAATTAGATCACATTGTTACTACTGTGGGGATAATAATATTTAGGTTACTTGTCGGTAGAAAGTTAAAATGTCAGATTGAGGTGTCAAACTACAAAATATGATTTATTAAATTTTTGTGTATATTGCAGTTCTCAATGTTACTGCTGTGATTGATTCCCAAATCTTAGGGATTTTCAGAGCTTGCTCTTTTTTTTTTTTTTTTTTCCCCTCCCCTTCTCTGTTTCTTTTGTTCACCTGGCTTTTTCTTAAAATGTCCACAGGCCCTGCCAGTCTGAGATTGAAATTCTGGCAATACTATGGCTTTGAATTCAAATAAAAGCTTTAGCGTCTAGAATAATGGATGATAATCTTGCCACGTATAATTATGCTAGTCAATCCTCAGCAAGTGCTTGCTGCTGTTGGTGTTGAATGATTGCTGTGCCAGTGTGCACTTTTTATTCCTGATGTCCTCTCTTGTAAATAAAGTATAAGGTAGGGGGCCTGGAAAGTAACAGCACTTGAGGCAACTCTTTCATCACAAGACTTTTTGCACTGAAGCTTGCAAATACTGTT